AGTCGAGCACCTTATCTACCTGGCCATGCCGGGCCCTCAAATGTTATAAACAAAGAAAGAAAAATATAAAAAGGGTTCCTCAAAACAAACAAAAAGTCGTCAAATTGTATATTTTCTTATTTAGAAATATTCTTGACAGAAACATTGGTAATGTATTTCTGAAATTTATTTATGAACGAAATATTTAATCTAAAAATTTTCGTAATTTACGTTTCGAAAATGTATATGAGTTTAGACTCAAAACTATACAGTGGGCTACCTTCATTGTGCCTACTGACGGTATTGAATGCCTCAAACTTACCGCTGTGCCATGGGGAGGCCGTTTAGAAAAACATATATAACCCTAACGTATCATAAATGTGTTTTTTCTGGTGTTGTTCAATACAAATGCGTGTATGAAAAAGTACAAAGTTCAACCAACAACTTAAACTAATAAAAATAAACTTGTTACTTTTATATCTCCAATATTAATTGTATATCTGTATATTAGTCAAAGTTCAATTAGGAAGTCAAACTAATGAAAATAAACTTGTGACTTTTATATCTCCAATATTAATTGTGTATCTGTATATCAGTCAAAGTTCAAACAGCAAGTTAAACTAATGAAAATAAACTTATGACTTTTATATCTTCAATATTACTTGTTTATCTGTATATTAGTCAAAGATCAACCAGCAAGTTAAACTAATAAAAATAAACTTGTAACTTTTATATCTCCGATATTAATTGCATACCTGTATATTAGTTAACTTTTATTCGATAATATTTTTATTTTATTGTTTCACTAATTGAAATGTTGTCACTCAGCAACTACTTAGCAACTCCAGAAGATTTCCATAGTTAAACCTCAACTGAAACATCGCTTGAAAACATAATCACTTGTATATCATTTTACAAAAGTCCTTTATTAAAACGATCTTCTCAAATTTGTATTTAGAGAAAGGAGTTGGAAATAATTTATCCGGTTTCTTAGAATTACTTCATTTATTAACTTATCCAGTTTCTTAGAATTACTTCATTTATTAACTTATCCAGTTTCTTAGAATTACTTCATTTATTAACTTATCCAGTTTCTTAGAATTACTTCATTTATTAACTTATCCAGATTCTTAGAATTACTTCATTTATTAATTTATCCAGTTTCTTAGAATTACTTCACTCATTAATTTTGTTTGTTTGTTTGAATTTATGCACAAAGCTTCACAATGG